GCCCAAAGTTATGAAAATCTCTAATTATAAATAGAATAAAACGTATAGTATAGTTCGAGATTTCAGTCATATTAATGCAAAAAAAAGCGTTTGAAAATACAAAAAATATAGTTCTATTCTAGCAATACATACTATATGCTGGTTTATATGAATTATTATTTATTTGCCTATTTTATTTTCATCACTTAATTAGTCAGAAAAGTGTGCTTTGTCGATAAATTTCATTTGTGCAATTAAAATGCTGAAAAGCGCTTGTGTTTTATAAATATTATCAGAAAGCAAAAAATTACTGCTAAAGCATTTTAATTGAGCGTTTCAAACGTCGAATGCCGCCCTCGTCGCGGTTTGGGAGTCTCCATGTGAATTCTCACAATAAATTTATTTTTCTGTCACGCACACATGTGTGTGTGTGTCTGTTTATATAATCAGCCATAGCCTTTGCAAATAGGGTTTATCAGTTGAACTTATACTCATACGATAATTGACTTACAAACACAAGCGAAAATGCTCGACACACGGTCGTCAGATTGTCTGCCGCGTTTTGTTGAAACACAAATAAAAGCGGCAAAAAATTGTAATAATTTTAAATAATTTTTAGTTTGTTGCTCTGTGCACGCGAAGCGTTTATGATTCATTCTAATAGCAGCTGGTTGTTGCCACGACAAAGAAAAATTTGCCAATATACCGAGGATATGAATACAAAAAAAAAACTTGAATGTTTGCCAATATTTCTAATTTTCCTAAGAATTTCTTGACAATTTTCTATACAATTTTCCTCTACTTTCTTTTTATTTGCTTTAGCGTAAAATTTTGTCGCAGATCTAAAATGGATCGTTTAATTGCTTTCTCTTGTGGCGAGATAATGCAATGATAGATTAATTTGTTTACGTTTTTCATGGTGGAACTATTTTTAAGACATTATTTGCATTTCTTACTAAGCAGACGACTGCTCTTGGCATTTGGCACAATTTGTTGGCTTTTATCCCTAGAAATTTTAAATGCTATTTAGTTTTGATGCGCTTGACGAATTTTTTTCAATTTTATTTTCCCTTGCCTATGTATATACCCTATCGGCCATGTGAATGAATTTTGAGGGTGTTTTGTGCAATATTTGAGTGCGTTTATTTAATTAATTTGTACCATATGTTTTTTATACCCTATACCCAAATATTTATGATATTTTCCTTACATTGTTTGGTGGCTATCTGAAAGAAATATTAAGTTGTATGTATGTTTGCAATATTTTATTTTAATATTGTTTATAAATAACGAATTTAATGTATGTTCTGCACATGGATTTCTCACAACTAATACCTACTGATAACTGCTCCTCTATGGGCTCCTCACTACTGACTGCTGATCCCAACTGCCTAATTGGAAGGACCGTTGACGACTGTCTGCGGATCTTCTTCTTTACCAATATCTTCACACATCCTCCACTTTTCTTATAAGTTCATACACAACTTTTAAGAACTGACTACTTACAACGACCGTTGACAACTGACTGACTTTTAACAACTGAATTGGGATTGATTGATCGATAAAGTTATCTCATAAAATTGTCTGATTTTGAATAACAGTTTTTCCATTCCAAATATACCTTCTTCACCTTCATTACAACTCATTAGTATATAAAAATCCAAAGGATTTCACAAAGTATATAGTATGTACATATATCCGCCTGTCCCTCTGTCCATCCATCAAAGTCTAAGAACTAGAATCTCCACACTAGGTATTCATAGTTTTCTAAGCTTCTTTCTTTCCGGCTTTTTGTTTTTTTTATAGCTCCCATATAAAAAGTCAGTTATGTCTTATTGAAATACATTTCCAATTAACTTTAAATGAGTTACATCAAAGCTTATATTCTTTTGACATGTTTAGACAACTAAACATTTCAATTTCATTTTCCACTCTTTATATAATTTGATATTTATCTTTCAACAAAGAATGATTAAATGAATAAGCCTCTATTTTAAGTACAATTCCCTTTTCTAATTAGTTTTGATTACGTAATTGTTTTTCAATATTTCGGACCATACTTGGTTGTAAATTGGGATATATTGGCCAGTATCTGATTGAATTAATTGTATAAATTTTGTTGTTTTGTTTGTTTCTTTGCTTGATATTATAACATTTAAACGTTTTAAGTTATGTCGACATCCATAAAATTTTCAAAAACATTGTTTTTGAACAGTATTTTTGTTTTCAAACATTTTACATTTTTAATCCTCTTTATTCACTCCATTTGGAAGCATAATGATTCAACCCAACTACGAAATCTAATGTTTTTTGCAAGCACAGTATTTTGGGGCCTTCCTATTTTCCTACTTCCCTGAGGATTCCATTCTAATGCGGCTCGCTTTATATCGTTGCGGCTTTCCAAACCCTATCTCTCTGTTAGGCCTCATCCCAATACAATAATTGTTGAAATATTAATTGCCAACAAAAGAATATAATTCTCATTCGAAGTCAGAATATTTTGAGATAACAATGTCGTATGGGCTTTAAATTTTAACTTATCACCTTTTGTATATTGTATTTATAGATATTATTCAAAGTTTATCTAATAAACAAACAGTAAATTAGTCATATCAGAATGCAAACAGTTGACATAATACCTATTTGCCAATCAAACATGAAGTTGAGGCGCACATCAAACCGCATATGGTACTTTATATGTATGTGTGTGTGTGTGTATGTATTATTTATCAAGTAATTTGCGTTTCGATTGCTTGTCAAATTAGAGAGTCCACTGCAAAATTGTTTCTAAATTTAGATATATATGGGCATATCCGTTGCCACCGACACCGTCGCGACGGCCGCATCCGACTTGGCGACGGCGGCTCTCTCTGTACTTGTTGACAAAATATGCTCAAGTCGTCATGGCAAGCGTAAATTACAAGTTCACGATTTGTCATGCATACACACACACACACACACATGCACACACACACACTCTCACGCAACACACAAACCACACACATATTATGAGAGAGCGAAGATTCGGACTCGTTTAGAAAATGCCGCAATTTAATTTTGACATTTGTGGGGACAATTTGTCTATGGGGCTGTCGCCGCCGCCGACGATAATGATGCTGACAATAATAATGACGTTGATGATGACGCTGGCTTGATGGTTTGATTGTGAATTGTGGTTGATGATTATGAAGAAGATGATGACGTCGCGACAGGCGACAGCGGTCCGTTAATCGAAACTAAGCGATTCGCACACGCCAATTGCGTTTTTTATTTGCCATACAAGTATACATACATACATATGTAATGGTTTATATGTACATAAGTATATGTACTTATATGTGTGTGTGTTAGTTTTTTTATTCGCCTTGATATAAATACAGACAATGAATATATTGAGCCGAAAACAAACAATTGCTGCGTTTGTTGTTTTCAAACATGATGAGGGCTGGTTTTGGAATTCAGACATATGTATGTTTTCCACCTAAAAAAATGCCTCACAGCTCGCAAGATACTCGCAAAGTTCCGTAAAGTATTATTCTTTACGTTGGTAAGAAATGGAATAGAAACAGCAATTGATTCCTTTTAATTTCGCTAAAGCTACTTTATTCAAGAAAGTATAGTTTTTATAGAACCCCCTGCGTGTATTTCCGTTTTATCTGGCGTTTAGGTGCCATTCATATGTAATCTCACTCCTAGGTAACGATAGTTTCTCCACTTTCCTCTCTTTGGAAGGGTTTTTAAGATTTTTTCCCACACCATATTCCCATCTCTGTCACCACAAAGCAATTCAAGTTCCACAGTTAGTTGGATGGGCACAATTCCGTAAGTTTGATCTGTTTCAGATCTGAGACTAAAGAATTGTCAACCTCGATTACTCAGAGAGGTATCAAGGGCGCAGCACACAGAAACCCTAGAAAATAATAGAAAGTACTGAATCGGAGTACTAAAATCGATAAAAAGGGGGTCTAAGATAAATCTAAATTTAAATCTAAATTTAAATCTAAATTTAAATCTACATACGATAGAAGTCTAAAACAGCTTGAACAAAATTGTTCACTAACAGAATGTTATATGTTCGATTTGTCATACAAATTCTTTTCCACTTGCGAATCGAATTTTAAAAATTTCATTAAAGAAATTTCAACTTAAAACCGACAGCGAATATTTTCGTAATGATAACTTATTCAAGAAATCAAGTCCGTAAACCACCTACTATTTAATGCTATCTTATTCCAAGCCGGATGAGAATTGCTTCAAAGACGCTGTAAAATGCCAAATCATATAAGATATACATACGTGTACATACTTTGTTGCTGTGAACAAATAACCCAACATTTTATAAAGAAATATGGCGAATGGGATAAGCGTTAGAAAGGTGCTGGGGCGGGAAACCGCGTGTATTGAGGCGTGTGACTCATTTCCTGTCACAACCCCTTAAAACTTATCAACCAGTAAGCCACATTGAGTTTGTAAACTTTTAGAGATAAAAGAAAGAGCAAAAGTCAAATTGTGATATGGTTTAAGATGTGTTTGAATATAGTTGCAATAAATGTTTTTTACGATTTCCTGACATTTTTTTGATTTCCCAAAAAAAGGTTTGTTGAAGCCAGAACTGTTATTAAGACTAATTTATTATTTTAATTCCCAAGATAAAGAGACAAATTTTCAAACAAAGTGGATAAATAAATATATAAATCTAATACTCTTTGATCATGTTGTGCCTCTTAAAAAATTTAATTTTTTTAATTTCGTAAGTTTTCATCTATTTTTTTTTTTGTATTACAATTTTTACGAATTTCTGACCACATTTTTTTTGGTTTGTTTGAAGCCAGAACTGTTATTAAGACTAATTTATTATTTTAATTCCCAAGATAAAGAGACAAATTTTCAAACAAAGTGGATAAATAAATAAATAAATCTAAAACGCTTTGATCATGTTATGCCTCTTAAAAAATTGAATTTTTTTTAATTACGTAAGTTTTTATCTAATTTATTTATTTTTATATTTTTTGGTATTACAGCCTGGCAAGTGAAGAGCCCAAGTGAGATCACCGAGCTTTATGAAAAGTCATGCCGTAAACATAACACTCAGCCGCTGCTTAGCATTCTTGAGCACCTGAAAGTGCTCGATCTTAAGCAGGGACGCCAGCTGCTATTATCCTTGAAGGCCCTACCATTGACGCCCAACGACTGTGAGCCGCTAGAGGAAATATTTAAGCGGGTAAGCCATAGACTTTTCGCGTATCTATATGATTGTTTGTAATGCTGTATTTTGGAAATATCTCCTCCATTCATACAGATACAATATAAAACTATTGATCTATCCGAATGTCCGCTGACCGAAAGCTGCCTGGGCGCCCTTTTTCAAATGATTGAATACTATGAAGCTGCCAATGAACTGGACATATCGTACAATAAGGCCGAGATGTCGTTACGCGGCTGGAGCCTCTGCACCTATATGATAGAACGGAGCCTGGAACTGCAGATGCTCAATGCCGAGGGTAATCAGATATCGAAGTTGGGTGCCGAGAGCTTGGGCAACGCCTTGGCCACTTCTAATCTGCACACACTGAAGCTGGAGCATTGTGGACTGAAGGGGCCGCCACTGACTAGCTTATGTAAGTATTTATTTGGTTTCGAGAAACAAACTTGCTAACTGACACGATTTCTTTTTAAATAAATTAATTTCTGTTAGGCTGCAAGCTTTACCACAACAAAGTGCTCAAAGAGCTGTGGCTGGGCTACAATGATTTGGACTGCACGGATGCACAACATATTGCGGACATGTTGCGCTTCAATCACAGTATTGAGCTGATTGACATAAGCAACAACAACATAAGGGACGAGGGTACCATGTATTTGGTGCAGGCACTGATATTGCAGTCCACAGAACTGGAGCGGCGCAGTGGATTGCCCCTGCAGAGAGCGCGAGCCATTGAGGATGATGAGTGTGTGTCGCCATTGGAGACGACACCACCCGTGCAGCTAAAGCGTGGTCCGAGCGAGGAGGAGTGTCCCAAAGTGCCTGAAATCGAAGTATTGACGGATCAAGCATCGCAGTCTGCTTCTGCTTCTATTTCCGCAGCCGTTGCCGCTGCGGGTGGAAGCGGCGATGGTAGCACATCCATAGAAGAGGTAGAGAAGCAGCAGAAGCAGAACCAGCAACAGCAACAAGTGTCCGATGATCAGAAGCAACAGCAGCCTGCCGTTATGGATACCAGCGCAGCGCCAACGCCATTGGATCTGGAGAACGATGTGGACGATGACAATACAGACGACACTGTGCGCACTGTCCGGGGCTGCAATCAGGGCGCGGCTGGGCAGTCTATGCTGGACAAGCTGCTCTCGATGAACAGCGATAGCAGCAGCGAGGAGGCGCCCTCCAACATATCCACAGACACGCTGGCGGCTTGCTGCTCTGAGGATATTAGTGAGAACAGCAATGAGATTTATGATGCAAAGGCCACACAAGTAGCAGGCACAGCACAAACAACAAAAACAACAGCTAAGGTGACAATTCCGACGACGACGACGACGGCGACGACTACGACAGAAAATGAGACGACAAGCGCCTTGAAACCAACAGTTCCAGCAGCGCTCACGTTAGAGTCAGTGGAGCAGCTGTCTCCCAAGCAACAACAACAACAACTACAGCAACAACAACAAAGTTCCCAAACTGAACGCAACTTATGTGGTAATTATTTATCATTCCTCCTATTCCTACATATTGTAGAAAAATTGATAATTTAATTAACATTTTTCAACCCATTGCAGATATAACTCCCTCAACAGAGGCTAAAACCGTTGAAACCCCCAATGAAACCTGTGTACAGAACAACAATAACCACAACAGCAACAGCAACAACAACCACAACAACGCCCATGGGCATAACAATAGCAATAATAATGTTAATAATCATAAACCATCAACAACAACAACAAATCCTGGCGCTGAAATACCACCTAGTGGTATTTTTGAGGTGACGGCCGAAGAGAGCGATTGCATTAATGGTGGAGCAGCGAGCGGCTCCAGACCATTGGATGTTAATAAAAACGCCAAAGTTGGAGATGATTTCGAGGATACGCACAGCACAGATTCGGCGTTTGAGAGTGCTTCCGAGGGCGATATTAGTCGCCATTTGCCCGATGAGTTTAGTCGATTGTCTGTGTCGCTGGAGAGCACACGCCTGGATGACTTGACCAAGGAAATGGGCATAGAAACAGGCACCATAGCCACCGAATCAACTGAGTGTCTGGTGGCCGAGGAGGCAGGAACGCCCTCGTCCACACCGACGCCATCAACAACAACAACAACCGCAGCCACAGCAGCAACAGCGACGCTCACATTTGCACCAGATGTTAAAGACGATGAGGTATTTGCAGCGCCAAGACCCAGTCCTTGCCCCAGTCCAACACCTACACCGCCACCGCCTTCCACGTCGCCGGGCGGCGTCAGTTCTGGACTGCGACGCACGGAAACCAGTTGCGCTTACCTCAATCAGTCCACCCGCAATCGCTCCCAAAGCTCGGACAGCTTGTGCAGCGAAAATTCGTTGGATGGTAGCACCAGTTCGGAGCATCAGTTTGCAGAGAAATTGACCAAGAACGATACACTTTCCCGTCGCCAGCTGGTGGATGGAACGGCTGAGGCGGCAAATCGCCCGCCCAGCGGTCTTAAGGCCCTCACACTGTGGAGCAATAACTTGACTAAGGACTGTGGTCGCAGCATTGCCGAATTGTTGCAAAAGACCGTATCACTGGAGCTGCTCAACATCGGCAAGAACTGTTTGTCGAATGATTTTGTGGCGACCATCAAGGACAGCCTGACAAAGAACACAACGCTCACCACATTGGGTCTCCAGAGTGCACATTTAAGCGCGAAGGGCATCGAAACACTGGCGTCCATTCTAACCTTCGGTGGCAATAGCAAACTGCAGCGCATCGATATACGTGACAATAAACTAGAGGTGGAAAGTCTGAATATAATCGCCGATGTGTTGAAGTCCAACAAAACGATCACACAGATAGACATCAATGATGAGCCCAAACGTTTGACGGTAAGTTGTTGTTATTGTCGTTGCAGTTCCAGTTGGCCCCCTGAGCGCTTGTGTTACTGTGTTCCAATACATAAAACTACCTACCTCCTACATAATATAAACTCTTATATAAATATACATATTTATTGTAAATGAATTGTAAACCACCAGAAATGAAGTCAAAATTTGAACGTGTTGGATTCTCTAATGTCGATCCCACAGCCAACCACTGCCAATTGTAATCCTATTTATGAATTAGGTATAGTTACAATTTTTATAATAAGTATTATCCACCGTATAACCATTTCTAGTTTGATTCTTAGGAAGAGAACTTGTCTGCTTAATCGAAATACTTAGAGATATATATGTAGTTCAAGCTGATCTAGCAACATTTTTAGATGCGTTTCTCTGTAGTAATTAGAAAATATTTATGGGGTTATGCCTTTTTATATTTTATACCTGTAGGGTACAAATATTAGGTTTGTGCAATGTATGTAATTGGTAGAAGGGAGCATTTCCAACCCCATAAAGTATATAAATTCTTAATCAGCATGACGAGAGAAATCGATGTAGCCATGTTCGTCCGTCTGTATGAACCCCTGGATTTCCGAAACGGCTGGGCGCACATTAACTGAACTTGGTATGTAGACGCTCCTAGTCCCTGGGCAACACGAGTTTATTTTATTTTTTGGATTCAACAATTTCTGGCAATCTAGCATGAGTAGTCGACATTATACCTCGGCCATGCCGGGGTAGTGGAGTACACTGTTGTACCATATATTTATTTATTGGAATTGTGTTCTGTTGGTTAATTTAATTGAATCGTTTTCATTTCGTGTTGTTGTTGCCTCCATCGCAAAAGTTACCGATAGTGCCGATAGTTAATGTTATACCGCCAACGCCATTGCCTCAGGAGAGCGTAAGTAGATCATCATGTTCAGTCATAGCTAAAAATCAAACTGCATTTTATCGCTGATATGCCTTTCGCTCGCTCGCTCGCTCGCTCACTCACTCTCTTGCTAGCTAGCTAGCTCTCTGTTTGCTTGCCTCGCAAAGCCGCTAACAATGCACAGGTCCAGACATGCAAATGCCGTGCCGCTCTCTTTCCCAAAACCAATAACAAACACTTATACTGCTACACCACAGCTAATCGTGCACTGTATACGTAATTACTCGCATACAAGAATGATCTAATACAGTTGCTGTTGGTCTGCTTTCGCTCTCTTGCTTTGTCTTCGCAGATTGGCAGCGATGCGCATCTGGACTATACACGTGTTCTGGGCACTGTGCGATCGATGTGCTCGCGCAACGAGAAGATCCAGGCCGAATTGCTGGCGGAGAGGACGGCGAACGTGGGTGGAGGCGGCAATTGCAGTAGCAACGGCAGTGGTATCAACAATCGGTGTCGCGGTGGTTACTACTTGGGCTCGCGGAAGATATCGCTCACATGCCACAGTCGCCCGCTAGTGGATGCAGTCACGGGCACAGTCACGGGTCCGCTAGCAGTAACCGCAATGCCAACGCCGGCCGCCAAACTGGAGGTGAAGCGCAAGTCAAATGCGCGATTGCGCTCGCCGGGTCCCAGTCCGCCCACGGTGTCGCCATCCTCCTCGCCAAATCGCAGTCGCTTTCATGTCTCTCGTGTGAATGAGGTCAGTCCGCTGACATCGCCGCTGGTCGCAATGCCGCCACAGCATCCGCCCACGCCGCGTTCGGCCAGCAGCTGCATGTCCATACCGGCGGCCACATCGACCGGTGGCAGCCTCCTTGGCAGTCAAAGCAGTCTAAATGCGATGGCATCGTTGCCCACATCCAGCTCATTGCCGGCCATGGCCTCCGCCACATCGTCCACCCAGACCATTAAACGTCTGTCTGCCTCGCCTCGCTCACGTTTTCAAGTACAACGCATCTATGAGGATCCACAGGTATGTAGATTGCTATTGCTATATCAAAGAATTCAAGAAATATCATCTGCCTCCTCTACACAGGTGCCACTGGCCAGCCGACAAATGCCACCGATAACACCACAGACACCACCGATTATTTTGCCACCAACGCCGATGCTGAAGTCGACGCGCAAGGCTGCGCAGTTGGCCGAAGCGGCGTCTACAACATCATCAGCAACATCCACACAGAAGGCAGCGGTTGCACCAACACCAACAACAGTGGTTATTGTGGAGCCCAGCCAAGACGCACACCATGATGCCAATAGTACAAATGATGTCGATGAGACGGCGGTGACGAAAAAGCTATCGCCACATTTCACCAACTCGCCCACATCATCAAGCTCATGCTCCACATCGCCAGTATCGCTGACATCAAACTCCAATTCATCGCCATCACCGTCATCTTCGTCTTCATCAACATCTGCATCGGCGAGCAGCACCTCAAACGATGTCACCGATTCCTTCAATGTAGAATGCACAACGACAGTACCCAAGTCCTGTCCGATTGCGGTCTTTGGAGATAATGATATAACACTCACCAAAGATTCCGCTGCTGGAGCTGTACTCACAGCTGCATCTGTGGTCCAGAGTTCACAGCCCGCCGATGCAGATGTAGAAGTGCCAGTCGCAGTTCCGGTGACCGCAGAGATTGTCAATCTGCCGCCAACACGATCGCGGAAAACCTCATGGATCGCAAATCAATCGGCGGTGGACAAGCTGCTCACACTTTTCCATACTACCGCGATTTTTCAGCGTAGCTCATCTCCAGAAACCAAAACCAATGCGCCGACCACAAATAACGAACAGAGTTAGTTACATTTAGTTAGAACATTCATTTGGTTTACTAAGTATTTAAGTATCCAACCCCGGACCAGAAGAGTTTTCACTGTATTAATGAATCATTTTTCAAACGTTTCGCATTGGCTTATCAGCACTTTAACTTAGTCTAACTATTTTGCAACTATAGTATTGAGTCGTATACTTAATAGTTACTAGCACTAGTTCAAAATTATCGCATAGATTTTTATACCCTGTACCCGTAGAGTAAAAAGGGTATATTAATTTTGTGCAAAGTGTGTAATAAGCAGAAGAAAGCATCTCCGACTCCATAAAGTAAATATATATTTAGTGTCCGTCCGTCTGTCCGCCTGTATTTCGGAGTCGGTTGAACCCACATTCATCAAACTTGGTATGAAGACTCTTATAATATCCATGCAACGCGAGTTTATTTTATTTTTTTCTGATTCCCCCCCTGCCCGCTACAAAATTTCATTAATACTGTTCAACTTTCAAAAGCTAGATAAACCAAAACGTGTGAAAAACACGTAATCTATATATGTACAATTATCTACTTTTGTTTTAAATGTTGTTAGAATCTCCAATCTCTCTCAATATTGTATATTGAGGAATAGTTTTGAATTGGCTTTTACTTTTTTGTTGGATTTTCCATCTTTGCATGCATTTAATAATATTCCCATTTAAATTCTTGCAGACACAACCACCAGTACCACAACCACAATAATAACAACAGCAACGACAAACACCACAACTGGCGGCGGTTTGGGTTTCACCGACGTCAATGTCCAAGCCTCAAATACACTCGTAGCCACACGAAAGACAACACCACCCGCGTGGACGCCACTCGATGCAAACGTCAGCAATGCAGGCGCCACTTCTTTTCTGGACACTGCCTCGCGACAATTACGAGACTTTGGTAAGCAGGTCTTCAGACAGAACCTCTCGTTCAACCAGAGCGGCGATGCGGGGAACAATGGAGCAGCCGTGTTGGAACCAATTGCCACATCCACTAGCGTCACGACGGGAACCATAACATCGATCAGTTCGGAGGCGGCAAACACAAACGAACTCAATGCGGCGCACATACCGATGAATCTGAAGCGGGAGCTCAAGGAAAACATATCCCCAGAGCACACGATCAATGAGGAGACGCTGCACACCCTTCAGAAGTTGGCACGGTCCGAGGACGTCACATTGAGGGCCGAGGCTGCGGCCGAACTGGGCGACATTGAGATTGTGATGCACAGCGAGCTGGACGATTGCTTGACTGAGGGAGCCCAGGAAGATGCCGCGGCAGTGGGACCAGCAGTGGCTTCGCCACCAGCCTCAGTGGCGACACCTCAAATTTAGGACGCAGCCAAGCACTGAAGTGGGGCTACAACAAAAAAAAAAGAAGAAGAAGCAATTGGACATGTGCAATTGACAATGTTGATGACCAATCAATCAATCAATGAAGCAAACAAACAGCGAAGAGCAACCAACCCACCCACCCATCCACTCTTTCCCTGGCGTTCCTCTGTAACCCAACCACCACCACCCGCCCGCCTTGTAATTGTTGCAAAGACAAAAAACAAAAAGAGAAGAAAAGCAAAGACGAAAACAGTGAAAAGTGAAAAGATTTTGCCCCACACACAACATGAATAATAACGCAAGTACACAAGTTTTTACAAATTAAACATATTTTTTTTCTGTTTTATTTTTGGTTAAATTCTTTTTAAGTCGCATATACATACAACATATACATACATATAAATATATATACATACATATATTTACATATACAACAATATACTTACGCAAAATATAAATATATTTTATTGATGATAAGAAACAAATGAATGAACGTAAGCAACACAGAGAAGGGTATACATTACTTAACACAAAAAACAAACCAACCAACAAACAAACAAAGAAAAAACAAACAATTGAATTAATAGCAAATTGTAAAAGTTAAAAGTGTGGGCAGTTTGAAAAGTCGTTCAGTGCTAAAAATCGAAAGCAAAATTTGTACTTAACAGCAAAAAGTGTGTATAACATATATATTTTTTATAATTTTATTATGATTTTTCAAACTTAAAACTGCAGCAAAACTTATCATAAATACATACTTTAATTTTTGTTGATATGCTAAGTTTACGATATAATGAATGGAGAGGTACATACATATGAGTATATTTGTCTGATGTCCGATAGGAATTATTCAGAAACCTTAACAAAATGTCCAAACTGTAAAATCGAGGTTTCTTGTACTTTGTTTCTTTCGAAATGTGCAATGCCTTATAAAACAAAAGTGTAGTTAGCTAAAGCAATGAACTTATTCAAAATATTCACTCACACATTTCTTATTGTGGAGACCAACACAACAAACACACACACACACAAAATTAACAACAAATTAGTATTGTAAAAGAAAAACAAAAAATTAAATTAAATAAAATGACACAGACGTGCGAGGCAGTGGAAGAGATTTTTTGCTTTTGCTACAAATCCAAACACACAAAGATACAAATACAATAATTAATATATAATTTGCCAAAAGAACCAATTTTGTAAATTCAATAAAAAACAAAACAAAAACCCACCAGCAGTTCAAGTTGAGAAAGTATAGTAGTAGACAACATTGAGTTGAGAATTATACGCGCAAGAATTACTTAAAATTAAAACGTACATTCTTACATTTCACACACAAAAAAAAAACCCAAAATAAATCCAATTGATCTCATTATGTGATATTTGTCGTAGTACCCAAAGCGTTCACTGTTATCTACATGTAACCGAAACATATGAGTTAAATAATATACATTTTTTGTACATATACGGAACACGCGAACACTCTCGTCTCTTAAGTACATAAATAATAGTACTTACATATATTAAATACATACATAAATATATATTCTAACTCGCAACCGCAATTACACTTACAATTACGACTATATATGAAGCTGTTCAATAAACATACATACATACTATATACGTACATACATACATATTAATACATACATACATATATACATGCATATATTTGTTGTGAAAAACTGAATGATCATGTGAATGCCAAGAGCGACTTTTCAAATTGTCCCGCGTCCCGCCAACTTTTAAATAATTTACAATCTGCTGCTCACAAAATAGAAACGATAATACTAGCAACAACAAAACTAAAAAATTAACGTAATGTCCTAAGTACATACTATATAATTCGATGAATCCTTGTAAATATCGCGTGTGTACTGTAACCTGTAAAAGAACGTGGCTGGACATGTCGGCCCATTTAAGAACTAAGACTTAATCTTCAGTTGTTATTTTCCTGTTCGTTTTTCAAGTTATTTTTCTATGTGAGGATTTGATTTAATGACCACTACTCCCTTGTGTTTAATTATAAGTAGCTAAACGCTTTTTCAATATTTTCCAATGTCACACAATTATTTTTGATATCGTTAGCTCACACACACTTTATATATATATATATATGTTAATGAGAAAGTTGTTATCCATTATTTGAATTATTTTATATAGTTGAAGCGAATGAACGCAGTGCAACATTTATATCAATTCAGTTATTGTTTGATTATTATGATTATTATTATTATAATTTTATGTTTTGTAAATTATATCGTACTTAATTTACAAACCTGTTGCTGGTGCTCACACAGATTATTAAAAATTAGGCACTAGAATATTATGTACTTGCCGGCACTCTAAAATTAATTTCATTTAACAAAATGTACTTTTTGAAATTTAATTTTGGATTAACATATACAACATAATAAATATCTCTTGAAAAAACAAATGCTTTGGCTAATTGGTAACTTAAACGTATTTTCATATGTTAAGCATAAATTAGCAAACCAAATGAAAAAAGAAAAAAAAACAACAACAAATCTATCAAATAAACTCTTTAAAGTTGTAATGAGAAACCAAACATTTTATTCTATTGGATTGGGTAAATAGAAGTTCATTTCTATTACCCTATTTTAAACATTTTACCTTATATGCAATGCGTTAATAAGGATGGTTGTTGTCGATGGAACATATGGAAGCTACTTATAGTAAACAAGCTAAATTTGAAGTTAAGCGGATGAAAATGGTAGATTTTTCATACAATCGTAGGAGACCGTTTTACCCCCTTTAGAGTTCGAATTTTCCAAAACCCAATGCCCAATTTCACTGTGAGAGGGATCTTGTGTCCAAATTTCAGCTTACGTTTTGGGCTGTGTGTTGATTGCCAATCAGTCAGGACAAACTGTTATATATATATATATATATATAGATGTTCTTCCAGTCACCACCAAATGCACAGCAAAACTTTTCTGGCTCTAAGTCCGACCCTGATTATATAATGGGACAGTAACCGAGTCATAAACATATACCGATTTTTTTTTCCTAAAGCTTCCAATCTTAACACAATTTAATTTACAAATGAATCGACCTATCAGAAATTGACGAAGTACTTTTTAAAAGAGATATTCCACATTTCCAATAAGTCCAAGCCCAATCAGTGTGACTAATACTTTACGATTTGTAACAACTTTGCTATAAAGTTGATCAACAAAAAATAATTTTCTTTCCAATTCAAAGTTATGAGGCCATCGAAAAAAGAAAATAAACCTCAGAAAAAATGAAAATACTAGAATTGGAATATTACATAATCGGTTTTAACTATTGATATATACTATATTTAATAATTCGCGATTTCTCTGTAAATTCGTACATTATACAGGAAGCAAGGGTTTCTCTACAGTCTATGAGGTTCTATATATTCCATCATATGCCAATGATTTCTATTTCACCAAATTGGCATTTCCATAAATTGCGAAAACCTTTTGGAAGATCTCTTCAGTATAGTTTAGAATCAGCCCCTCTAAGATCCTAAAGAAACATGTCTTTTGCTTGAATATCATTTCATAGAGTTTACAAAATTGAAAAATTGGATGTATCGAGGGCTGCGGTTATTGAGTTCGTGCTGTAATTAAACCTCTGATGCGTATATCCGTTAAAATATTAATTTAAAACAAATCTATCATAAAGCGTATAGGACTCGATTTGATATATAAATGCAAAGAGCGTATAATATTGTTTGAGAGATATTTCCCAAACTATTTATTTTCAAGCACACATTTTACGCATCATAATGCTTTTCCCAACTTATTTATTAACATACTCTTTATAGAAATAATTATAAAGAATTTGGCTAGATTGGTTTTAACTTCAGTCAGTAATATATTTAAAAAAGAACATATACATATGTTGTTTTTTGATGCTCCCTGAAATTAATTATTTAAAGATTCTAATTCAAATTTTCATGAATTGAAAGCTATTTGAAATACTATTGCTATCATTTAGAATCAATAAATAATATTTCAATAAATATTTAAACGACTTTCCAGCCTATTTCCAAACAGCAAGCCCAATAATCTCTACAAAATTTAAAAAGGAACTTTAAATTTTTAAGTTTTATGCGTTTAGATAATTCTCTGTGCGTAAATTTGGCTTAAATGCTTATATACTGCATTATATGCAGCCAAGAGCAGCACAGTAACTGCAATATTTTTTATTTTATTTATCTGCTTATTTTTTAAGCAGACCAGACGAATTATATTCACACACAGTATTTGAGAAAGCCTGCAGAGGTGTAAGAATTGTGGGAAAAAAAGAGTCAAATATCCGCGTGAAAAAGAAATCATGACAACTGTTGATACAAATAGTATGTATGTATGTATGTATGTACGTGCAGTACAATGGCAAAGGCACAGGCACAGCTGAGCGTAATACGAATGAGCAGAAGAGTATCAAGGGGGAAGGAGGAATATAAAATTTCATTCATAAGTTCTTGTGCATTTGATGTTCTGTTTGGGTTTTTTGTTTACGCAACACACATGCGAATGGGAATGGAAATGCGAGGAGAGAGAGAGGCGAGTGTGAGGAGCGGCGCGAATATGGGGGGTTGCTCTCTGTTGCTAACAGATTGCTGTTAAGCGCTCGATGCTGCAAAGTCCTGCGCTGTTAAATAGCGGAAGTGAGGAACTGTTCTTGAGCTTCAGCTTCGCATAATTCAAATTTGTGCGTTCAGTTGCAGTTGGCGCGTCGTTCGCTACAGATCGCGGTCGCGTGTTAATCCCCAGCTAAGTAAGTGTTTTTCTTCAAAAGTGAGATGTCGGCCGTGGAGTGCTCGAGTATCGCGACACATGACTTATCGGATAAGTCAACAACAAATGCATCTAAACGTGGCAATGGCAATGTGAACAACAACAATAGTGCGCGTTCCAGTCGCGTCGGCAGCGCCACAAGCGCCGAATCCAACTCGACCTGTGTCCTGGCAGAGCAGCGTTTTGGCTGGCAAGGATTTCGGCCTCAGTGGCTGCAGCGTTTTGCCACCGCCAAGTGGGCCCTATTCTGGCTATGCATTTGTGGAGCCTTGCAAGGTAGGAGACAAATTTACCAGACCATTTGTAATTTATAAGAATCATTATTTTTGTTGCCCACTTAATCCATTTAAAATGTTACTGCTCCGCCCACACTCACCGTTTTCTTGATTGTTTAACTTATTTAGCGATGCGTGGGAGACAACAGTCTTAAAACGAACAAAGTGCATATATTTCCAAAAAAAAAAAAAAGTGCTCCTTTATTGTCAAACAGCTCCCAGATTTAGGGTTTGTAAGACCATTTTAAAGTTCAAATTTAAAGATTCTCATATCACTATATTCCTCATAAGCCGTTTAATAACATTTATTTACAGCATTAGTGATCTGGGTAGTATTTAGAAATGCACATTCTAAGCAAGTTTTGCGGGAAACTTTCTCAAAAAATGCTAGAAAACTGTTTAAAAATATTATATAAAAACAATTACTTAAAATAATTATGTAAAACAACTATTTAAAGCAAATATTTAAAGCAATTATTTAAAACGCTTATATGTACATATATAAATAATCATGTTTTTGAAACGTATTAGTCTTGGACGTTTGTAAACTAGTCCAAAAAAATATTATATATATGTTACATCTGACAAAGATAGGGCGTATATGATTCTATTTAGCTTAAGTAGTTATTTGTTTATCATGCTTATAGCTTCAGCTAAGATAATACCTTTTATGATTACAATGTCGGTCAACGTTTGAGATAATTTTATGCAGCAATAGAGAGAGAGAGAGGTGCTAACGTTAACGTTCATTTTAAAGCCTTTCCGAAATTTTTCTATAACATTTGGTAGTATTTTTTAATTCTTAAATGAATATAAAATTTTAAATAATTCATAAAAGCCATTACTTTTCTATTTGCCTTCGAAGAAAGCGTCTATTTTGGCGTAGTTTTCTGCGCGAAACACACTCACCGAGCTTTGTAAGAACAGTGCTAGGAAATATATTTGGACCTTTTCATCCCGACTTTCCACTACTCTACTTTTGTGGGGACTAATATCTTAAAGTTTTGTTTAAAGTGGTCCCGATATTGGTTATTTTTTTGTTGCCTTACTTCAGTTGTCTGAATTGAATATTTTAAATAAAACTGACTTTTACCAATTATAGGAATTTTCAACTCTGAAATCGACAGTTTCTTTCACAATTAATAAATATAATATATTTAAGATCTAAATATTTAATTCTAATATTGCAATTTTTGTTTAAGTTTTTTTTTTTTTAGATAAATTTTATAATAACACCTTGACAGTATTATTAGTTGCGTTTTATGTGTAGAATTTAAGAAATGTTTATAGATTGACATGTACATTTGGAAATTATGGGTTTATTGATAATATATTTATAGGATAGTTGTTAGTTTAATGTTCTGAACGGTAGGTCTAGCCTTTTTAGGCTTCTAATGGTGGTACTATTGTGTGAAATGTAAGGAACACTAATTTCTGATGAGCTCGTATGTCCTTATTAGTGATGAGAAAATGTACTTTTATTTATTTTTTTATTTATTTTTCATCGACAAACAATGCAGTCGATGTACATAAAAAAAAATCAATACAATATAACAACTTAAACTAAATAAAACTAAAGAAAGAAAAAAAACCTATAAAAATGACAAAAATATCTAATAATATTTGGGAATATTTGTAAGGGTAGATAATTAGTTTAATAAATACAATTTTAAATTAAATAATATATAAAGAAATGCAATCGTAGGTTGGAAATTTTTTTATAATAAAAGGACTAAAGAAAGCTTCTTCTACCAAATAAAATGAACGTACCTCGAGACAAATAACTTTCTATGTAGACTCTCCTAGTACTGCCTTAAATAACAAATAAAACACCATTAACGGAATTCACATGTAATCTTTATACAATTCTCTAATTCTATTCTAAACCCAAATCGGTAAAAGCTGAGCGAATGAACAATTTTTCACCAATTCGCAACACACTACCTGGGACTGTCGCGTTTCAAAATTCGGATTCGGAAATGAATTTATTTAGCTTGCAACTTCTTAAGACGTTTCAAGTGGTGGGGGGGGGGGAGGGGTTGGGGGAGGAAGTCTGAGTTGTTTGTTGCAGCAGCTTATTAGCATCTCAACTCTTTTATGGTGGCAAATGCTCAAGCCTTGGTTTCTGTGCCGACTGCGTGCAACAGATAAGCGGTTGCACATAGAGAGCCAGGTGGGGGAGTTACTCTCGCCTTTGCCCCATATGAATAGAGGTGGATTAAAAATTAATATCTGCCCGGGGGCAGTCAACAGAGTTGGCCTGGCTTGGGCCATTTGGCCCGAGGATGCATTAACCTCAAAAACTGCCACCATTTGAATAGTTCGAGAGGCCGTTGATGTGGAAACACGAAGACGAGGCACATTCCGTCCGCACTCGGGAGCAGGAGCCGTGTAATGGAAGCAAGTGTCACATAATTGGGTGAACATAAATCAAGAAAATGTTAATCGTTGTTTGCTCAAAACTCGCCCTGGTCGGCAGTCATGGCAACTATGACTATGACGAGGCTGGAGTTGTGTGGTTAATTAAAATTCCGGAATCGGAAAATGGGGATAAGCAGACTCTTGATGCGCACATGACGACGCCAGCCACTAAAATTAACCCCTTGAAAGGCGTAGGAGTCATGAAGAAATAAAAAAATAAAACTATATTTGAGCAATACAACTAATTCTGTTTAAGATTGGTTCCAGAAACAAACGTGCAAAAATAGGATATCTCTAAAGAAATATAGAGGACATTTTTAATTTTCAAACCGTGTAAAAACAGAATTAATTGTACATCAAATATTAAGTTTTCAAATTAATCATTTCAGGAAAGTATTCTCAATTTTTTTTGTAGACTTGTGTTTTAAAAAGAAGGAAAGAAAGTGCAGAATTTTATTTAATTAAATCAAATCAAATATTAAGTTTTCAAATTGATTATTTCGGAAAATTTATTCCGTTATTTTTGGAGGCTTGTGTTTTAAAAAGTAAGCCCCACTTATCTTTAAAGAAATATATATATATATGAACTATTTAATTTTCAAAGAGTGTTACATGAAAATCGTGTAAAAAAAGACCGTATAAAAACAGAATTAATTGTACTTCAAATATCAGGTTATCAAATTAATTTTTCAGGAAAGTATTCTAAATTTATTTTTTATTTTTATTTATTATTTTATTAGAAATGAACAAAGGCTCTTCATGGCGATCTTAGCTGCTATTATTGTAGCTCCAGAAAGATGCAATATTAGCAGCTTAGATTGACTTGAAGAGCCTTTATTCAATTCTAATAACGTATCGGAACTAAGATCTGCTGCCACAAACATGTCTACAGTCTTTCGAAAAAAGTTCTACGGCTTATTGATTGTGATATTGTGAACGAATTAAATCTGAAAATCTGAACATCAGCAGATATAGCGACCGTCTACGAACTCATCGAGGGGCATAGCTTGCCGGATTGGCCCACAAACCCTCCTCCACCGACTGAGTTTTCTTCAACTTTTAGCTTTTAATTATATACTTTTGTTTTATTATTTTAAAAATTGTTTTTTCAAATATTTTCTTCAACTTTTAGCTTTTAATTATGTACTTTTGTTTTATTATTTTAAAAATTGTTTTTTCATGTATTTTATTATTTTAATTGAATTTTACTTGTTTTTGATTAATTTATTTTATTAATTTAATTTTAATTTTTTCTCTGCTCTGTGAATCGGAGTATAGCTAGCCATTTGGCAAATAAAATCCTCCCCAAGTCAGATTTGATTTTAGACATTTTTTTTTAATTTTCTGTAGGCTTTTTTATTCTTTAGTTTTATTAAGTTTAAGTTATTTTTATTTATTTTATTTTATTTATTTATTTATGTCAACAAACATTGACTGTCAACAAATATAGGGAATATATAAAAATTATAACAAGCATCTTATAAGCTAGAAAGCCTAAGGAGGAGAAATCTTATCAAATTATAAAAATATCTAATATTATTTGCCCTTTATCTAGCTATATATAGCATTTCTTTTTTTTACATCGACAGCTTTATTTAAAATAAATAAAAAATATACATATATTAATAAAAAAAAATAAAAATAAACATTATATTAAGCATATCCAGTCTATTAACAGAATTGAAAAAATAAAGTATGTTGGGATAAGAATTGACGATATTTTTCGACAAAAAAAAAATCATTGTTCGAGGAGAAGTTCGAAAAAATGAAATGGATTTTTTGAGAGCTTTCAAAAACACTCCAACCCGAAATCTTCAGAGATTTCGCTGGCATTCCTGATCAAGACAATCATTTGAAAACCGAATCGCATAGAATTGAAAACTTAAAAACTGAAGTGCGAACTAAAAATTGCATTTATTTTAAAAGGAAGATGTTGGAATCAGACGAGACCTTGGTCAATATTAGTGGGTTAATCGTCTGCCTACCTATGGGGATTAGTCTCTGTTACAGGGGATTAGTTAAAATTTGCCAAGTTGCGCCTTCAATTTTGGGGGCGTGGGCGTGTTTGTGCTGCTGCAGTATTTATGTCATAGCCGGGCTATAAACAATGCCGGCCGGAGGGCAGGCTGCTGTTGCAGATTACGTGAATGAAGTCCACGGGACGGCATCAGCAGCTGTTGCACGTGGACGAGCCCACTGGCAAGGACATGGGCATGGGCATGGGCATGGGCGTTGGGTGTGAAAGTGACGACATGGCTGGATGCTGGCCAAAAAATTGCCTAGAAGCGCTTGCTTGGACGCGTGCTGCGATAAATCGCATGCCTGCTGCACTTCCGCCTATGTTGTTTGTTTGTCTGTCCGTTTGTCTGTCTGTTTGTCCGTTTGTTTGTGTGCTTGCCCGCAAGAGTGTGCGCGCCCCTGAATGCTCTGAATGTCGGCACGTGACCGAAAATATTAATCAGTTGACATGGCATTAACATAAATCATCCGCAACAATTTTGAATTGGCGCGTCGCGCATTTTATTCGCGTTCTCGTTTGGAAAACCAGCAGCAATATCCCTATGTTTTTCATTATTATTTATAAATATATGTACATAATACTATCATTAAGTTGGGGATTAAGAAAAGGCATTTTCTCAACATTCATATCAAGATTTATGTGCATTTTATGAATGACTGAAGAGGTAAATGCAAACAAACTATATATTTTATTTATATTTATTTATTTGTTGTATCTAGCCCAGTGCGGTACAAGTATTAGGTTATTCAGTTTTTTCTGTAACTCAAGCGAAAATAATTAATATAATACTTGACTTCCTAAGTTGTTATATGTTTAAAAAAAATGTTTTTTTCAATCATCAATTTTCAAACTCATTTAAATAATTAAGAATTAATTAACCTGTTCGTTGAGATTGAGGGAATAGCTTTGCTAGGCCTGCCTGCCTCAGATTTTTAATAATTTACCTGAAAATGGGTTGAATTCTTCAATTACTATATGTCAAGAGTAATGGTTCTTTATTGAAAATTAATACGATTTCTAAACCAACAATATTTTTCTGCTACAACAATTTTCTTTAGGATAAAATGATTGCATAGTAGATTTATATTTTATATATATTATATATTATTTGTGTCCTTAGATGGTATAATTTTTTCCCCCTGGGTCCGATGGATTAATAGGTTATTCGGTTTCTGCAAATTGTGTTAAATCAAGTATATTCTAAGTATTCTTAATCTAGACTGCTGATTCGTTCATTAATTTCTTTCTCCTTACCTCTATTCTCAAACTCTGTACTTTTCCCTCCTATCAAATAAATGAATTTAAAAAAAAAACAAAAAAAATGTCCGTCTGTATGAACGCCTAAATTTCGAAAACCGTTGAGCCTACATCAACCAAACTTGGTATGTAGCTTCTTTCAATCCCCATGCAACACTAGTTTATTAAATTTTCAGTCCGACACCATGAACAATGCGATGATTTCATTATAAAAATGTCTAGATATTAGTTGGACTGGCTAGTATGAATTAATTATAGCTACAAACTTTTTTGAATTTAATCGATCCCAATATGATTATGCTTATTTATTCAGATACTATATGTCGTTTGCGGGTTCGTTACTAGCTTGGGATATTATGGGATATATGGTATGTATGCGTGTTAGTTGCAAATAGGTTTCAAAAGCCATCTTAATTAGATATTTATATGTATAATTGAAATTCTTAATAATCTTTAAATCAGGCTACTGGTAGAAACTTGTAAAGATATGTATCTATTGATTAAAAATCAGCAATGTGTAGCATGATCTTTTAATCATTCTTGATCTATGCTTTACAATGTTTAGAAAACTTTGAAAGAACGCCTTCACCTTGTAAGAAAACAATTTTTTCAGTCTGGAAAACTGTATTTTAAAATATAAATAAATAAATATTGTAAATTCGAATTTTAAGACTCACTTTAAGAAAACTGTATAAAGTGAATTAAATAAATAAAATGTGTGTAGTTCAGCGACTTCTTTCTCCTTCTCATTCGAGCTATTAAGCGACTAGTCTGCCTTTAAGCCCCTATTGTTGTATCAGGCTTTGCTGGTTTCGAGACAGATGTGTCCGTCTGAGCGCCCCATTTTTATGTTCCGCTTCTAATAAGCCAGAGTGGGTATCAATATCTGTTCACACACGCCATAAGTATTAATGTCTGTCATTTGGATGAACGCCTAAAACTGAAGATTGTCACGTTCTGAGGCCAACAGCCCATACTTGACTTTCCAGGCACTTCAGAGTGCAATTGCTGTGCTTGAAAGTCCTGCGGCCGAAGGAATCCCCTTCTAAGGAAATTATTACACTTTCAAGGGTAAACGACTTATGACTTTATTGAATTAGTCCAAGCAACCAGATAGAAATGGAGAAATTGTGCTTGTGAGCTAAAATGTTTACCCCCACTAAACATTTTCACACCCTTACGAACACCTTCGAGTGTAAGCATGTGTGTGTTTTTGTTGTTGTCCAGCGTGCAAATAAAAAGGATATTCTGTACATACTACATGCCCATTATTGGAAAATAAATTGAATTTTGCTTCAAAAAAAAAATTCATATTCTTAGCCATACAATGAAACAGAAGTTGACGCCCTCGCTTCCGCTTTAATGGCGGGGGATTCCCTTTCACAGCTTACAAATATTTATTATAATAGAAATCAATTTGTCGCACATAGTATATTTAATTTATGACCCGACCCAGCACCATTGTAGGAATTACAAATTATTGAATCGACCAGGGAGGGCAGACAAAAAATTGCCCGCTGCTGGTCAACCAAAATTTGTTTACTTTACAACTTTTCGTGGGGCTTCTTATCCATTTGATGGGCTGATAAAAAATGAGAAACGTGAGGTACATTGGGGGTTAAATGTATCAGTTTTTTGGTAATACTTGTGTATACTGAAATATAGTATTATAGGTTATATAGGTTTACATAAATTGAAGAACGTACATACTTTAACGATTTATCTTCTGCCAACTATGGTCGACCCATTTATTTGAATTCTAGATATGGTTTTCAAATTGCAGAAAGACACCTCATATTTCCGAGCATTTTCCATTATAGATTATAGTATTACCTAATTTTACAAATTGCAGAAAGACTTGCCTCATAATTCCTTTCAGTTGTGATTGTTAATGGAGTATAGTATTACCTAGTTTTACAAATGGAAGAAAGACTTACCTCATATTTCCCAGCACAGGCCAACTATTGTTGACACATCCATTTGCAATTCAGGTCTGATTCTTAATGGATCATGGTCTTACCAAGTTTTACAAACTGCAGAAAGACTTACCTCATATTTCCATTCAGTCTTGATTGTTAATGGATTATAGTAGTATAGGGTTACACAAATTTAAGAATTCTTCCCATATTTCCCAACACTGGCCAACTATTGTTGATACATCCATTTGCATTTCAGGTCTGATTGTTAACGGATTTATCAATGTGGTCATATCCACGATCGAGAGACGTTTCGGATTGCGTTCGAGGCAGACGGGATTGGTGGCCAGCGGCTACGATCTGGCCTCCTTCGCTTGCCTCGTACCAGTTACCTACTTTGGGGGCAAGAAGGGCGCTTCGAAGCCCCTCTTTATCGGCATTGGCATGCTGTTGATGGGCATGGGGTCTTTGGTATTCTCGCTGCCGCATTTCCTCGTGGGCAGCTATCGGGCAACCATAGCCGAATCGAATGTGTGTGAGCCAGACAGCATCCTGAACGGAACGGAGTCGGCCCAGGTGAGTGGCTTTGGCGGCAATATATCTGTTTATCCATCTGTAGTATCGCAATCTTTTGCAGAATGGATGCTACGCCGATGCGGAGGAGGGGGGCGTCTTGAGCGAGAATTTAACTTGGACTGTGTGGTTCTTTTTTGCGGCACAACTTCTGCATGGCGCCGGTGCTTCCCCGCTCTTCACGCTCGGCGTCACTTACATCGATGAGAATGTCTCAAAGAAGATGTCGTCCGTCTACTTGGGTAAGTTGTGTGCGGTAACTGGAGTTAAGAGTTAGAAGTTAGTAAATAACTGATACTCTATCATTGATAAGAACAACTCCAAAGGCGCCGAAACTTTTCCCACACACAAAACAATTGAAGTATGTGTGCGGAAATAAGTATTTCCAACTCCACTACCCATGCCAAACAAAAACACCAAACACTGAGAGAAAAGAAATGCGAAAATTTAAATTAAAGTAAATTCAATTAATGGTAGACAATGCCTTTTATCCGATCTATTTAATCTTTCTTTTTTCAGCGATTTGTTTGTCGATTTATATAGGATTTTATTTAATAATCCGATGACCGGCTTTTAACCCAAACAACTGAAGAGTTACTCTATTTAAATAGATGTTACGAAAGTTATATTATGATATGAAGAGCAAAAAGCTTCAATATAGATTACAATATCTAAATTTTTGATGTTAGGAAAGTTTTATTTTAATATGAGGAGCAAAAAGCTTTAATTTAAATAATAAAACCCTACTTTTTCACCTCAATGAATTCAAATGGAAGCCGCATCCAAAAATATTCATTCAAGCAACGAAGTTACGAAGATTTGTAAATATTGAACAGAAGTTTCTTCCGGTTTTAAGAAGATAATTAAGTTTTGGCTTCAAATTAGAGTACAAGATTTTTATTTTCGACCTGTTCATAAATGATATTCAAAAACCGTCCCGAATCTATCCATAAGCTGGCTTATCAAAGCGGAATTGCCATTATTTGCTCTTGACAAAGGCAGTACATTTTAGGATATTTGAGAACATTTTAGAGAGCTATTAAGCTTATGGCAGATGAGTCGAAAAATCGTCAACCCCAAGACAACAAGTTTGTTGTTGTTTTTCCATGAAGGGCCGTAAAATGAAAGAAATAAAACATATACTACAGTTTAAGTTAATACACTACGACTTTTTTTTTAATTTTTTGGTTTTTCTTTTTATATTATTAATTGTATCTGATATCTCACAATTTCTATATCAAATACTTAAGAACTATGCCCCGCTTGAAGGTCCTTAGATCACCAATTAAGCTATCAGGCCATATTTAGTTTAAGTCAAATACACTATTATTTATTTATTTACTTATTTATTATTTTATTTTATTTTTTTATTTATATATTATTTATTGTATATTGTATATCTCACAAATGCTTAAATACTTAAGAACTATGCCTCGCTTGAAGGTCCTTCGATCAGCAACTAAGCTAGCAGGCCATATTTTCTGTGTCTTGCTTATTTTGCCAAGTAACTACTGCATTTTTTCCAGTGTATCGTTGCACACAAAGACAAAGCATCTGTTAGTTGCTCACACATGCATATTTATTTTTATTTGCAATATCGCCAAAAGACTTCGACTACAAAGAGAAGTAAATACTGTTTACTATTTGCACAGACCCAGCAAGCACATCACCCCCAACCCCACCCCCTCACCACCCTCACTACCCCTCACCCAACCACTCCACCATCCAGCGCTTAATACTTCTACTTAAGGCTGCGTTCTGACCCAATTTTAAAGCAACAAATGGGAAGGGAGGAGGGGGGGGGTGAGGGGAGCAGCGTCTTGTTGCTGACTCAGATGCTGACTGTGAGATGTGTCACCCAAGGGCTATGGGGGCTAGCCAGGACGAAGGAGACGGCCATGGCGGTGGCAAAATTTATTGCCTCTTAGTTAAGTTTATCGTACGCTAGACAGCTAGGCAGCAAAATTATCAAAGTCGAGCAGAAGGACGCGCAGCGCAGCGCATCGCCTTTGAAACAATTGAAATTCGTTTGCCGGTTTGTTTTGGCTGACTGGCTGGCTACCATTTGCGAGGATAATGCGAATAGATGCAGCCGATACAGCGTCCTCCCCCTACCCCCACCAGTTGGTAAATACGCCTGTGCCGCTTGCAACCAAAAAAGGGTCCTCGGGTGAAGTCCCAAACCTTCGCCTTCGCCTTCGTCTTCGCCTTTGACTTTTCCGTCTGTATTGTCATGCAAATTACGATGCAATCAATTGATAAAACGTATTGGTTTATTGGCAACAACTCTCTGGACTGGGCTCGAGTTAGAAGTTATTGCCATATTGCTTTGCTAGTTAGTCGACCATGAATAACCGGGCGGCAGATATTACTCCCACTTTCTAAGCTTATCCGATGATATTTATTGGGGTCCGACCAACAGGCCATATTTTTGATATATCCATACAGATTTAGCTTTTTCTTTTGTCTCGATAGGCAGTAAAATATAGTCATGTTTTCAGGGGAAGTATAGGAACTTCTTCCTTCACAATTGGTATTACTTCATAGCTCCCACTAAATTTGTTCCCAAATGAATACCGGGCGGCAGATAATATTCTAAGCTTATCCGATGATATTTATTGGGGTCCGACAAAGAGGCCATATTTTTTATATATATATTTGTACAGATTTAGCTTTTTCTTTTGACTCAATAGGCATTAAAATATAGTCATGTTTTCAGGGGAAGTATTACAATTGGTGTTACTTCATAGCTCTCACTAAATTTTAGCCCCAAATGGGAGCCCCGCACAATTGCCTATTGGGGCTTATGTCGATCCATGGTTCGACTCTGTATTGATAACGCAAGTTATGTATAATAAAGCCCTATAAGCAGGGAAAGCCTATGTTGGCAAAAAAATCGAATCATTAATTACAATAATATCGAATAAACACCTCCCACTCGATGGGGGAATTTTATTTCCCATTTGTCTGTCCCCGAATCACAGCCAAATGAGGTCAACAATTTATTTCCAAATAAAAAACAATTGATCAGAGAAAAGAAAGAAAGTTAGAAATAATTGAAAGCTGAATTATAAAGTTTGAAAGATGAAACAGAGAGAATGGTCAGCGATTCCGGAGTGGCTGAAAAGAGAGGCTTTTAGAAAAGCAGATGGAAATGATTATTATCTCTAAGAATAAGAGGAAGATAATTTGTCGTTGGAAATGAGAGCAGCCCAGTATTTTGAAACCTAAGTCCTACTATAATTATCTTAAAACCAAACACTTGGTTTCTAAAATAACACAAAATCTTGCAAATCAATAGAAACATACAACTAGTTCTTTCAGTCTTTTGCCATTTAGTTTTTTACCTCGTCAAGAGTTCTTTTAAAATGGGAGTATTGCTTGTTTATTGTTGTTGTTTAAATTCAGATCGGTCCTAAATTACCGAAGACAGAAAGTATTTATATAGTCGAAAAATTGGCTTTAAGATCCTGTCGTTATATTCTATTGTCGTTAAATGCAAATCCAGACCAAACGCTGAGGCATAAATACCTGTATATAGTAAGTTTTCATTTGTCTATATCAGATAAAAATTGGGGTGTAATTTACGACTAATTCTAAGTTACAAATGTAAATAAATAAAAATTCGGGTCACATTCTATCCAGTTATTTGAAAGAACAGATCACTTTTGTTCCTTAAACTATTTTCATTGAGTTTCAAACATATATTACTAATTTCTTATCGGAGTGCGACTTTCCTGATATAGCAAAACATTTAGAGAAGCCGCGAATGTTTCGAAAAATAAAATAAAATACATAAACCACATAAAATATTTATTTATTTATTTCATTGACAAACAATGCAGTCGATGTAAAAGAAAAAAAAAATATATATATATACATATACATAAAAAATTAATACAATAGAGAACTTGAACTAAATAAAACTAAAGAAATAAAAAATCCTATAAAAATGACAAAAATATCTAATAACGAAATAGTCAAGGGGTCCCAAGTATCGTAATAAATCGAACTTGTTTAAAAACTTACTACCGACTGTTTCATTATAACTAAGATATTGAAGTCGAAGCTAATAAAAAAAATAGTAATAATAATAATAAACAAGAGAGAACGCTACAGTCGAGGAAGCCCGACAGTGAAATACCCTGTACCCAGGAAAACTTTCGTCACTGAGTTATATGCGCCCATAGCAGCAGCAAAAAGAGGAAGAAGAAGAGCGAACTTATTGCTGCAGTTTGGGGAGGTTGTACTGGCGAGAATTTGTTTCGCTAATAACTTTTCTTAGAATTGACCGAATTGAATAAAACAGTAGACAATTATATATTAATTATGTGTGCAAAGTTTGGTTTAGGTAGCATTTGAAATGTGGGCGCTATTGACGAAATTCTGTAGCGGGGGAAGGGGGGGAAAATTCCAAAAAATAAAATAAACTCGTCCTTTCTCGGACCTAGGAGAATCTGGATGCCAACTTTGGTTATTCTAGCTTTTATAGTTTCTGAGATCCTCGCGTTCATCCAGACGGACAGACGGACGGACGGACGGACATGTCTAGATCGATTTCTCTCGTCATGCTGATTCAGAATATATATACTTTATGGGGTCGGAGATGCTTCCTTCTGCATGTTACATACTTTGCACAAACCTAATATACCCTTTTTACCCTACGGGTACAGGGTATAAAAATAATAAAAAAAATATGAATTTCCATAATATTCCAAGCTTTTATAAATACGAAGAGGGAACAAAAATCTTAATTGAAAACGTGAACTAAGAAGCTTAGCTTATTTATTGTAATATTTACTATTTAATTTAATTGTAATTTCGTAGAGTCACTTAATTAAATTTGTATTTACAGGATTCTATTACACGATGGCCATTATTGGACCCGCCATTGGCTACGTTCTGGGCGGTCAATTGTTGCTCATCTATACGGATTTCTTCACCATGGATGCGGCCGAGTAAGTGAATATTTTTTGTTTTTTTTTGGCATTTTGTTAAGTCGCACGACGAAATAGCGTTGTCTGATTGTTATTAATCGCACGACTTATTTGTCTGAGGAGAGATGAGCTTTAATGTTGGCTTCGGAGGGGGATGGGGGGAGGGCGCTATTCCTTGGTTGTTGGTAGCTTCGCGCGACATTTGTAACCCGGCAACGGCAAATGCCGCAAAGAGTGGTGGCTCATATCTCCGGAGACTAATAAAACAACATTTCGTGCTGACAACAAGGAAATAAGGTGCGAATGAGAATGAGCATTTGTTTGATTCGCCGTGAGCTGAGGTCGGGGTCACTTAGGAGAGCCACAGCAGCAACAAGCATGCCTGTTGGTTGCCACAAGCCCGACACGGGTACGGCTCGGCTGCGGATACGGATACGAGCTTATTGTCAAGGTGATGCCATAAGTCATAATACCAGTTGTTGAGCAGGGGATGGGACTGGGCCGCCAGGCAGGCAGGCAGTACATAAATTATGCGGAAAATTTGAAAATGTTGTTTATGTTTTGTTTTATATGTTTACAGCTGTAAAGCACGGATTTGAGAATAAACTTGCTTGCTGTAAATGAAATGAATGGGAATTTATTTGCGGACTAAAAATGTAATCAGATGCGATGCTTTAACGATAATACAAGTATTCGTCCTTTGCAGCTTGAGCCTGACGAGCGAGAGCAAAGTGTGGATTGGTGCCTGGTGGATTGGATTCGTCTTTGCGGCCGTGGCCTGTGTCCTTGTGGCTATACCCATAATTGGCTATCCCAAGTCGTTGCCTGGCGCTGAGAAACTGCAGTTGGCCAAAGTTTCGGAGGCACATGCCGCCCAGAGCGTGGAGCGTGGAGATGGAGCCAAGCGGAGCGGTCGCTTTGGAAAGCTGTTGCATGATGTGTGGACGCTTTCGAAAAATCCCACATTCGTTTTTCTGAACTTGGCGGGGGCTACAGAGGGTCTGGTAATCGCCGGATTTGCCGCCTTTCTGCCCAAACAAATCGAGAATCAGTTCAGCATATCGCCCGTCATATCGGCGCTAGTCATGGGAGTTATTTCGGTGCCCGCAGGAGGCGGCGGCACCTTTCTGGGTGGCTATTTGGTGAAGAAGTGGAATTTGGCCTGTCGTGGCATCATCAGGATGTGTCTGCTGGCCACAGTGGTGGCCACTTTCTTTACCAGCTGCTTCATGCTCACGTGTCCCAACATGGGCTTCGCTGGCGTCACTGTGGACTATCCGACGACCAATAGCTTGAACCGTGGAACAGCAAAGCAGCTGCCCAATTTGGAGGCTGCCTGCAACAGAAATTGTGGCTGCATACGCTCCAATTACGATCCGGTTTGCGGCGCCAATGGTGTCATGTACTATAGTCCTTGTTTTGCGGGCTGCAGCGAGGAGCAGAGTGCCGGGCATCTGATGCACTTCAGCAACTGTAGTTGTGTCGAGGCGGCAGAGAGACCGACAGCCACCAATGCCATGTGCGAGTCCAAGTGCCACAATTTGCCATATTTCGTTGCTATTTGTTTTATGCTGATGCTGTTCACGTTTCTGGCCACAATGCCGGCTCTATCCGCCACATTAAGGCAAGTAAATGCTAAAATGTTTAAAAATATTTTTAATTTCTCTGTCCCCTCTCTTCCAGGTGTGTTCAGGACGAGCAGCGTTCCTTTGCTTTGGGCATACAGTGGATTAAGGTGCGTCTACTGGGTACCATACCAGCCCCCCTGATCTTTGGTGCCCTAATTGATGAGTCCTGTGTGCTTTGGCATGAGTCCTGTGATAAACAAGCGGGCGGAGCTTGCTTAGTCTACGACAACTTTTACATTAGCAGGCTAGTTAATGGAATTCATCCTATAAATATTGCCAATATAAGTTCTTCTACCTTGCAGATACATGTGGATCCTGGCTCTACTTGGTAAATTATGCTCTGTCTTCTTCTTTTTGGGTGCCTGGTGGTTTTATGTTCCGCCCACTAAATTTCCGGATGCCAAGGAGGAGAATGAAAACTGAAAATAATTTATTAAGTCATACATATAATTGATTTCTGTACACTGCCATCGATCAGTAAGGCTCTGATAAAGCTTGAGGAGTTCAATTACTAAAAGGGAACGGTATTTACTTAATTTTTCAAAAATATAAACATTTTCATAAGTTTATTGCCAAACGCCATTAGTTGTACTTTTTATACATACATACATATATAATATACGATAAACATTTAAAATTTCAATACAATTAAATAAATAAAAGTTTTTCTTGATGGCTCAGAATTTAAAAATAAAGAAACGGCGCGCAAATAACACAACATGCGTGTCCGAGCATCCAGCTTGAAACTGTCGCGCGCAACTAGAGATGAGCATGTTGTCTGCATATGAATATTACAAATATCACGAGCCACGAAATGATAAATATTAAAAGTTAAGTGCATTTGAAACTGAAAATTCTGCACTAATACATATGTATTTCATTTGTCTGCCACAAATTGTGGTCAAACGTTAGTTATGGACGTACAATAAAAACTGACGCTATTGTTATCACGAGGCTGCTCACCACTAATGCAAGCCAGTTCTCGCAGCTCGCTTAGAGCTAGTTCGTCACACAACAGCTGTTCATTGATTTAGCTTGTTGTTGTTTTGCGCTTGGCTGTATTCGTCAGTAGCACGCTAATGCTCGAATGTCGATTATTGCGGCGGAAGAAACTTGTTTCGTGTGTGTGTTTTTATGTTGTGTGAAAAGAAAGCCTCCGTCTTGATTTCATATGCTTGCTGTGTTGCATCTTAATCCGCAAGCGAATACAAAATATAAATGATGTTTATATAGTCGAAAGCGTCGACTTTGTTGTGATAAAAACAAAACAAATTATGTGCAATTAAGGGTCAATCACCCAACAACAATAATACATCATAATACTAAAAACGCAGTTTTCAGCATACACACACATATACATACATATATGCTTTGTGTTTTTTCAAAGTGTTTAAGCCAACAGTAGTAGCTGCGAGCATAAAAAGGTAAATAAAATTGGTATAAATAAAATGAAGGGGACAGAAAAGAGTAAAAATCACAAGTGATGCAACCAGACAATGCTATTCCCACTCACACATTCATACATGTATACGAACGTACTAAGGGAAATCCAGCTGAAGAGACAACAATGACAACAACAACAACATCATGCATCAGCAACAGCGCATAATAAGAGCAGCAACAAATGCAAGGCATAGCAAGAAGTAAATGAGTTATGTGTGGAAAAATCAAGCAAACTATGTACATAACTACGTGTATTTTGTGTGTGTGTGTGTGTGCGTCTGTTCTCGCTTCTTTTCTTGTCTGGCTACCAGTCAGAAGTTGCCCCCCGCAACCAAGAATATCGCATCTCACGCATACGCACGCAGCACTTGTTACAGTTTTCATTTCGTTGGCGCTTCCATCGACCTCCACAACGTCACATACACGAACCCACACACATACAGGCAAGCACGCGTCGTGTTGTTGTCTTCGCTGTCACATATTTTGGTTATTTGTTGCTGTTTCTCAATTGATTTTTTTTTTGTTTTTGCATAATCTTGCTAGACCGAATCCCATAAAGAGCCCCACGTAAATGACAATGAAAGATGTACGTATGCATGTGTGTTTGCTCGTGTGTCTTTATTGAACGTTGCATTCTGTGCCTGGCAACTATTTATAAATCGAATGTATTTGCATACACATATGCAGTAAAGTAGACTAATATAAATGCTAAATTCAGGCATTCTGTAAAAAACAAAAAACAACTTGTTAGTTACCGATCCTGCCAGGAGTCGAACCTGGAATCTTCTGATCCGTAGTCAGACGCGTTATCCATTGCGCCACAGGACCACATAGCGAAGGGCAGGCATATTACAATTTATAAAGCTAGAATATTTAATTCGTGATTCTAATTAATTCGGCAGTCTTATATGTTTGGAATTTTAATTAAATTTTAGTATAAATAAATTTGAACATGTATATTTATATCTTCAGAATAGATAAAATCTGCGTATAGATTGCTGCGAGCCAATTGAGGATGATCTTCCGCGAAGTTTACAGGCCCGGCTAGCTCAGTCGGTAGAGCATGAGACTCTTAATCTCAGGGTCGTGGGTTCGAGCCCCACGTTGGGCGAATGATAACTTTTTTTCTTTATTTGAAAAACAAATGGTCTATAAATTTTACAATTAAATTTCGCAGTGTGCAGTCTTTGCAGAACATATTCTTTTATTCTCCAAGGCAAACATGCTGCAATTTGTTTACTAAATTTGTGCAATGATCATTTTTCACGATCCATGGTTACTATAGTAAATTGGATATTGAAGCCATAACTTGTTTAATTTTCTTGTTTCTGGCCAATGCGGTTAAAAATCATGAATTCAGTTCGTATGTCAAGTAAAACGGGTTTGTCGCTCTAGTTCAGATGGAGGTATTTAAAATGTATTTAAAAATGAAATATTACCATTTAGAATCAAAAGAGCAAATAGCGTACTTCGAAATTGCTGATATTTTAAGCAAACATTGCTTAATATCTTGACGTCTCGATAAAAACGCGTTATGTACTTATTCGAACTAAAAATGTAAATACATTTGTTGCTAAGCCGAGTTAATTGGGGTCTGCAACCTAATTCAAACGAAATTTGTATTTATTATATATGTACATAGCGTACACATAAATGTATATTATTTACTTGTGCCTTCTTTATATACATTTATTTCTATAGAAAAACATTCTACTTTGTTTAAAACTGACGATTTTTGATTGTGTAGAGGCTGTGTTATTTGCAAAAAAAAGGTGATTGAATAAATATTATTTAACAATTTGTTAATCTTTTATTGCGGTGAAAACTGGATTTGATGGAATGCACTTTTGTTTGTTGCTTTAAACAACCCATTGTGTTCGTAGTTAAAATAAATAAATAGTCACATCATTGCTTTTTCGCGTGTTGATTCGTCAACTATTGTTGGTGAATCAGCGAACTTCCTATTTTGAAATAAAATGATTGCATTAAGGTGGTTATTTAATCCTAAAGTATTCTAAAACTTGTTCGTATGCACATTTCCTTCCAAACGGCGAAGCTCCAATATTATATTGTAAAAGATTTAATTTTTGTAGATATTTTATTAATAGCCCTAACATTTTCCAACTATTTGTGATAATTGGAAGATACGAATGGCACGACGAATGAATAAGTTTATTCAAATTTGTTTATCCAATGCTCTATTGGGCAACCTATATCCTAAGGTGGTTATTTAAGTCTAAAGTATTCTAAAACTTGTTCGTATGCACCCTTTCTTCCATATGGAGAGTTTCTTCCCTGCAGCTCCAATATCATATTGTAAAAGATTTAATTTTAGTAGATATTTTATAAGTAACGCTAACATTTTCCAACTATTTGTGATAATTGGATGATACGAATGCACGACGAATGAATAAGTTAATTCAAATTTGTTTTTCCATTGCTCTATTGGGTAACCTATATCCAACATTCTGCAGACTGCGCAGATCTCTTTGTACAGCTGTTTTCATTTGTTAAGGCTTACATATTTACATATCTGGCACTCCCATCGCTCCCCTCTCCAACCACTCTCGCCTACGTGTGTAACCGCAATTAGCTGGTTGGCGTTTGTTTTTGTTGCTCTTTTTCTTGGTGTTGTTTTTGCTATTGCTTGCCAAATCTTCGCACGTAACCAAAAGGCAAAAATCAGCATAATCAAGGCGTCTCGCTCATGGGTCTAACGGTGTTTGTGTATCTCGTTGGTACCATTAAGAAAACGCAAACCGGTTCCTTATTTGCTCGCCGGACCGCTCGAGTTACTCATTCAAGCGAGTCTCTCTCTCTCATAAGCTCAAAAAGAAAAATATACAACACAAACATACATCCATCGTATATACATACATATGTATGTGCATGTGGTTGTGGTCGTGGCCATTTGTCTTAAAATTTTTAACTTGGTTTGTACAATTGTTTTTGAATTATTCCCGAAAATTGTTCAAAGAAATAAAACAAATAATCACGCAATTCATTCATTTTGTTCACCTTAAAAATTATTTATATTTTATTACGAAACATACAAAAAAATTGTTTACAAATACCAAAAATGTATTGAATGTGTTAAAAATTGCACACAAGTGCGCAATATTTCATAAGAGAATATTTAAATTTAACACGAATTCCATTGCATTTTCATAGCAAGCCACAATCCGAATATCTTTAAGATTTATTTATTTCGATCTGCTGGCGTTCTGAAGGTGATAGCAAATATTTGCAAAGATGCTCAATTAAAAAGAACATTTATAAATTGTTGCTCGAAAGTATCTATAAAGCTTCTTATGTCGTGCTGCATGATTCTTAATGGCCTCTAAATTGTCCAACTGATAGACTAGCACTAATTGACAACCAGAAGCTCATGAAAACATTTTAATACTTTTCACAGTATTTGTCTGTCTATCTGTTTGTTGGAAAGTGCTTTTCAACTTTTCTGCGACTTTTTGGCACGAATAGACAGTTGATATGGTTTAATGAACTTTGCATATTTAGCCAGCATCATGACAATAAAGGCGGGTCAGCTTAAGGCAGTTGGCAATTAACCCCCGCTACATTATTTTTACTACGATATGATCTGTGAGGTAATTTTCAACGAGCTGCTGTCCTATAACTACATAGGTCTAAGGGCAGTGCTAACTAAACTATTATAAATAATGTTAAATTTTTAAGATGTTTTGGAGAGATGAGATCACACGTTTGGTACTGAATTTGAAAAAAATTACTGGATACGACAATTTATAAAAACAGGCACATGCATCTTATGTTAATGGAATTAAAGCTCCCTTATGTTTACTTTTTACAATGTAAAAAATAGCTCGCTAACTTAATTGTTTCAATGAACTGTTCAATCTTAATAAACAACTTTAAATCAAAACATTTAATTGGCAGTCAATGGAATACTATATACAAACTTTTAAACAACTATTTATTTATTATTAATTTGCATATAGTTTTTCGTTTTGGCAGCACTTTTTGCAGCCATTTTCTTACTCTGCACAGTGATGCCAGACTTTGAATTGAAAAGCTGGGCATTTGTGTTGTGGCCGAAGACAGATCAGAAGAAATCGAACTGTAAGACAAATATTTTCAAAATTGTATTATTATTGTTTGCGGCTTTATAAAATTTTATATTTTAGAGTAACACCAAATTAGATAATTGTGCCATAATGAAGAACTTAGACTACATCTGGATTTAGGTATTAGAAGCTGCAAATTTTTCCAAATTGATTTTTTTTATTGAAGACTGTAAGCTGGCAGTTCAAGTTGCCTATTTAAATATTTTAAGGAAACAAATTATATTTAAATGGCAAGCTAAGCATGAAAAGAAAGATGAAAATCTTATTTATTTAAGTTGTATTAAATCGGTCCATTTAAACTCTTATTTAATAGTTAGAGCCAAATTTAAAAAATTAAAAAGGCCTTTTATCAATTCTCACCAACTTCCTAAGCCTTTAGTTTAAAATTAACTGATTTGTTATTAAATTGTGTTTAAAGTTGGGCTGCCCTGACTTTGGAATGAGTATACTTCATATCCACAACAACAAAGCTATTCGTGCGTGAATATGAAGGTATTTCGTTTATTTATTTATGGATTCGACAAATATGGAAGGTCGGCATAGCCAAAAAAATTATCTAACAATATTATAAATAAATACTTAAAACGCTTAAAGCTTTCTCTAGTTCCTATGCTGAGGGCGATATTTGATTTTATAGAAAGGCACCGACTATAGGCCAAGATACTCGTACTTCTAGCTGCTTCTTCCTTTCGCCCATGGGGGTAAATTAATTAGAAGTAGGTAGATCATTAATTTCATTGTGCCATATAACATTTTCCTGATGTAATTTGAAATAATTGAATTCTCTAGCAATATTGAAAGGCCTTCGTAGAGCGCTGTCAGCAGTTGCCCACACATTTAATAAAGCTCGGCATTAGCATTTGAATGCGGAGGCAAAC